AGAGCGTAGCGGAGGAGCCGCTAACCTTTTAGAAATGGACGGGAGACTGAGTGAATAGTCTGATGAATGGAGGACAGAGATCGAATTTGCAAATCTTCTTTGGCACTTGATTACGCAGGTGAACCTCGTACACGTGAAATAAGCATTTCCAATGAGCACGAGGTTTATTTTAGGACGTGTTTTCAAGCACTAAAAGTGCTTAGTGTCGATATTCATCCCCTTTAATAAGCAGTTGCAAATAGGCAAATGTGTGGATAAGCTTTAATAAGTGATCCTTAGAATTGAGAGAAACAGTTTGCTGTGATGTAAATGCATGCGTGTTTTTGAAAAGCCAGATTTCCAGCTGATGATAAATATTCTGAACCAGACACAAACCCAGTTTGGGCTGTGTTCCATCCCAGTTAAACCCCCTGCTTATTTACAGGCATTCGTAGGCAAGTTTATTCGATCCGCTTGAATAGGATCGCTTTGGTGGCAGTGTAAACCCATCCTGTGGGCCTTATTCTTGGAGGATGTCTGGGAAGTGATCTACTACTTTGACACATTTTGTGAACATCCGTAGATAAAAATCTATAACCCTTGCTTGTGAGAGTGTTAATAAATTCACGAATATGTTCAGCAGTGGGGATACGGGTGAGTGCGCTTCGCTTTCCTTCTCGAAGTGATCTTGTCTCCTGGCTCCACACTCGCTTCTTTGGAAAGACGCGTTGGTAGAACAACGGGTCCACGGCGAGCGCTGGGTGCAGTCGCCCCGCACGCACGGCACTGATCTGTCACTCACTGCCGTCCGCCTGGCTCCCCGCTGGTGCCCTTCACGGAAAGGGACCGCTGTTCCTCACCAGTGTGCCGCCTCAGGAACCCAAGGCACCATTAGTCTTCATTGTATTTCCTTTTTTATTTGGCCAGACGTAAGGCAGCACCTTCAGTTATCAGAGCTTTGTCGAGCGGTCGTTGTTGGGTGCAGACACCGTTCTGATGGCTCCTGTTGTTCCTGTGGGGTTAGAGGCATTTCTCCGTGCCAGAGTTTAAATACGGAACACACAAAGTGTGTGGAGAATTAATCTTACGAAAGTCAGTATCCAGCAGCGTAAGGACAGCTGAAGTAAGTTGCCAAAAGACCATCTAGTGTTTTTAATCTGTTGGTGTATTTTTGTATCTACCTTAAAGTATGCATTTTCAATTGACGAGTCTCTAAATTCACACTTTTCACTAAATTTATATCCATGAAATAATAAAAAGAGCAAGCACACGTACTATGCCAGGTCCTGCTCTCAAGCCGTGACAGCCGCTGACTCGTTATCCTCAGAACAACGCTGTGTTTGGGGTGCGCTCAGTTTGAAAGGAGAAAGAACAGCCCCTGGCGTGTTTTCAGGCCGCCCAGGCGCGAGCCGCCCGCTGCGCCTGAGGGGCCACGTGGACGCCGATGTCCTCCGCGGGGAGCGACCTCCACACCTGGGCAGCTGCATGCACGCCCCCTGGTGGGTGTTTCACCAGCGATGACATCGGGCGGCCCAGAGTCGGTGTCGGGGACCCAGCCTGCCGACCCTAAAACTGGAGCCGTCCTGGTGGCCACACCTGCTCCCCCGACAGCTCTGGTGTCCTCACGTGCAGGTGAGGACGCGGCCCATTGGGGACCGACCACTCTCCAGGGGGGCTCTGACAGGACCCCTCGAGCCAGCAGCACAGCCCTTCACCCACCCGAAGGGATGGGGTGTAACGTTGCCGATGGCAAAGGCGATCCTGGGGTGGTCCGACCTGCTCTGTGTGCTGTAGGTTTCCCGTGAATTCACATAATCCAGGGAAGAGCCCGAAAGAACGCTTACTGAACCCTCCAGCCACTGAGGTTCTTCCGCAGCCTCGCCCTTGACGGAGACGCCAGACGCTGGGAGGGGCGCAGACACAGCCCTTACCCCGGGCGCCCTCCCCGGGAAAACAGCCAAAACAGGGGAATGAACGAATACCCGGGACCTTCAGATCACAGATGTGTAAACAAGGGCGACGTCGGTTCATCCTGGAAAGTACACAATCTGAACTGATGGTGCGTGGCAAAGAGCCCAATGCGGGGGGAAGGGGGGCAGCAACTCTTCTTGAATTCAGCGCGGAAAAGTGTCACGTGTATAAAGCTTACGGATGGAAGGACGTAGCCCGTTCGCTGATAGACACTGATCGTTATGTAACTAAACAACGCGCTCGTTTCCGGTGGTTACGGCCTCGCTCGCCGGGCTTCCCGCGTTCACCGGCGTTCACCGGTGCGCGTGTCCGTAGGCAGAGCTCCCCGATCCGGCGGGGTTTCGTGGGGAGACTAAGAAGACGGCCGTGCGGGCCGCCGCGTCGTCGTTCGTCCTGTTTTTATTTCGTCGTTTTTCTTTATTTCTTTTCATGCCAGCTTTGCTTTCATTGAGTCTTATTATTGCTTCGACCCATCTTCATTCTGGGCTTCTTGGATAAAACTATTTAGAACGTTAACGGTCTCCCTAGAGCTGAAACTGTCAGTCTTCGACACGGCAGGTCCCTGCGTGTGGCGTGTGCGGCTCGCGAGCGTGTGCTTCTAACTCTCCTTCTCATCGTTCACGCCATCGTCCATTTACATGTTGCTGTTACGGGCGAGGAAGCCCACGAAATAGTCTTTGTACTGTTTTTGCTTTACGCAGTCACTATTCTTTTAGAGCAAACCGAAATAAGAAAAACAGTTAATGTTTACCTTTACGTTACCGTCTTCAGAGCTTTTTATTTCTTGGGGCAGACCCACGCTCCTGTTCGAACTTCTTCCGCCTGGGGCGCCCCCTTTGACGTGTTCTGCAGGGCGGATCCGCTAACAGGACGTCGTCCCAGCTCGTTTTTTCCAGCCATGGTCGCAGTTTTGTTTCTGAGGCGTCTCTGCGGAGCAGCGAGGCGGGGGCTGCAGGTGTCTGTTCTCCACGTGCTGGAGACGCCGCCCCCGTCTTTTCGGTGCTTAGTTGGCGGCGAGAAGCCAGCCACACTCCTTCTGTCCCTGCGCGTGTGACCCGTCTCTCTGGCTTCCTTTAAGCTTTTGGTCTTGCACGTTCGTCGGGTAGACCGGAACGCGTCGAGGTGGCCGTCCGTTTGCGGGATGTGGGGGTGCGTGTGTGCACACGCGCACACACACTTAGTGCTTATCCTGCGTGGGGGGGTCTAACATTCTCCATCTGTGGTTCGATGTCTTTCGTTATTTACGAACGAGTCGTCGCCACTCTCACCCCCCAGATTTCTGCGCCCTCTCTGCCTGCGTCCCCTGGACCGCAGCACACGTCCGCCAGGCCGCCTGGCACGATCTTGTAGTCCGGGTTTGCCGAGTTCTTCTTTACTCGCTGCCTCTCGGGGTGCAGTTTGTGTGCCTGCCCTTGACCTTTCGCGGCGCCTTCCGCCGGCCTCGCCGGCCAGCGGGGGAGCCCACTAAGAGGGCCCCTCGTCTCTGGCGCTGAGGGGTTCCCGCTCGGATCGCCTTCTCGCTCGCTCTGTTGACCGTTGTCCCTGCACCGATGACTCCATGTCCTCACGTGTGCGTCTTTACTGCAGGCCCCTTAACACACTTCTCGTGGGCATTTTAACGTCTTTGTTTCTTAGACGAGTGTGCTCTGTCTGGTTCCGTTACCTGCTTCACCTCTGGACAAAACGTTGTTTTTCCGCTTTTCTGTGTGTCTGAAATTTGTTTAGTTAAAGCCGGACACCACGAGTGGCTCGGTAGAGACCGCTATGGGTACCTATGCTGGACCCTCCGCCCTCCTCCTGGCAGGCTGTCCAGCCCCCCGGCCGGGAGTGGACCGGCTTGGAGCTGCGTCGTTGCTATGGTTACGCTGGGCGCATCACAGGCTTCACGGTCCTCTGCGGGGCTGTCCCTCAGCGTTAGCACTCCGCCGTGGCTTCCGCTCACCCGAAACGTGGTCTCCCTGCCAGCGCGGGCCCTGCTTGGGTACCACTCACTCACACCCCAGGGGACGGACCACGGTAGGCACCTCAGTGTCCGTGGCAGTCACCGATTGCTAAGCCACTTGGGGCAAGTGAGCAGGCTCCGAGGTGCAGAGTGGCCGCGGGGCTCTGCCGCAGCGTGGACCATCCATCAACAAAAGGGCGAAAGCGAGCAGGACTCAGCCACAGGAGGACGGCGGGGAAGGCGCCTGCCAGCACCGAGAGCCCAGGTGGGAGAGTCCAGCGGGGGGCGGGGGGGTGGACAGTCGGAGGACAGGTAGGACACAGGACGCTCGCTACAAGAGCAGGGCGACCCCTCGGCAGCCGGAGGCCCGGGGTGCTGCCGTTCTGGGCAGTGGACGTCCCGCCGTGGCTTGTGTCAGAGAAACGCCGTCTGATCTTGCTCGAATGCGGCGAGTAAGCTAGTGAGGAGGGACCAGCCGGGCGTGGCCGAGGGGACGCCCAGGCCAGGCAAGAGCTGTCACAGCTGCCAACAGCGGTTATGTGGGCAGAGCGGGAGGGGATACGGGGAGACCGAGGACTTGGGATGCACTTGGCGGGTAGAGGTGACAGGACCTGCAGGTGGATGCAGAGAGGGGG